AACCCTCCCCCCGGAGCCCATGTCAGAAGAAAATCGGGCTGCTCCACAGGCCCCAGCCACTGCAAAATAGCGCACTGGAGGCGGCAGGCGCATCAACAATGGCTAACGTTCAGTGCGCAAGAAAACAGGCGTAGCGTTTATTTATCTGCTGCTCTCTATTCACTATCACGCTGAAACATGGAAGAGAACGCCAGTGTTCCTTTGGCTTGAGACTCACCTGAAATCGAAACATCTATCTATAGGTTTTGGGGGAAAGAAGTGCATGAGGAGAGTGGCGGCGCGCGAAGTGACGCAGCAGCACAGACGTCTCCTCTTCAATGTATGACGTCATCAAGCGACGTGAGGAGAACGCAGGAGAGCGCGGGATGATGGGAAGTGGTGAAAAACTCGGTTCTTTTCCTTTCCCCGGTCACAATTTAATTTGTACGCTTCACTTGAGGCATAACTGTTGTTCACAATAATAATAATAATAATAATAATAATAACAACAACAACCAATGAGTTCTGACATTTAGACTCTGGGTGACTGAAGGACCGAATCGTTAGTCAGCTTTGTTGTACTATAACTGATGATTTGGCGCCCCCAAGGGGACACACGGCTTACATTATCCCTTTCTACTAACAAACACTGCATTCGTTTTATTCATACCCGTTTTTAACGCATTACCAAAGTGACGTTTCTCAGTCCACTGTGTAAAAGTCTTGTTTTGAATTAAAATATTGAGGGACAAATGTAGAAATTTCATTTTATTAAAAAAAAGAACGAAAAGAAAGGCATTTAATGAAAGGGTAACAGTATAGTTTGTAACTGCATTTGCGTAGTAGTAGATAGAATCCAGCAGGGGAGGCTCGCTACCAGTTAAACTTATTTGTAAGTGTTTGACTTTTCTCGTTTTGCAAAATAATGTTCAATGTATTTAAATTAAGAAAATCTGTTTGTTCTGAATAACTCGTCAACGCTTGTTTAGGCCGGCAGGGATATTTTCATTCGCAGGAGAACAGAGAAGTGAATCTGGAATGGCTGACATTAACGGCTCTCTGCCTCTAACAATACTCTTCAGACTTGTGGATATTCTCTGTCATCCCGGTCATCATAATAATCTCAAAAGCATTCGTTTTACTTGAGGTGAGTCCAGTTGCCTACTTTTAAAACTGCTTTTGAGACTGATACTCTTCAAATTTTGAGTTGACAACACCAAGGCCTTCCAGCAGGTGTACCGTTACGTTGGCGTTTTGGATGGTTAATGTATCGAATCTGACAAATAACATCTAGCGACTGTTTCCCACTGCTTCTAACGAGCTAAGCCTGAAGCGATTTTAAACTTATGCCATAAATACAACAAGGACTGGACTATCAGCATTAGCATAGATGGAGATGGAAAAGGACATGTTAGAAATGGAATGCACGGAAAATCTGTACAACTGAGTAATTAAACTCTACTTTGTGAGAAGAATGCAATTTATCTTTTCAAGAATACTGCTTTTTTTAAAAACATTGCTGCTCTTTTAAAATGCAATATAATTAATAATGTTATAGTCGTAATGACCTTATTATGATGTGGATTCATTCAGGTAAGACGCCAATGAAAGCAGGAGTGGATCTCAGTAACATTTACACATGTGATAACTGTGTTTGTTTCAGACATTTTCACCAACGGTCGTGTGATCTGGCTTCATCTGATGGAGCTCCAATTTAGCATAGAGTGTGTTGATCAGAGGAGGTCTGTCACTAGCTACTGCGTCTGGAGGACTCCCTTCCTGTTAAAAAAACAGTAAGATTAAAGTGAAGGTAATGTTTGTAGAAGAGCTAGAACAAAGACAAACAAATGTAGACGTAGTTGACTTTTGAAACGGAAGCGCTTTTTGAAGGAAAAATGTTAGAAAGTGTATTTTGGTAAATCGTGTTTTTCGATGAAGGTCCACTTTCATGACTGCATTTGGGTGCTGCAGGTTAATAAGTGTCTCTTTTCTGTGTTCTCAATGGGTAGGGGTGGCTTAGTGCCAAGTTACCACTGAGGTGCTCTGAGCATGGCACCGTCACAACACTGCTCCACCCTGCTGCCCACTGTTCACTTTGGTGATGGGTTAAAAGCAGAGGTCACATTTGATGTGTGCAGTGGTGTGCTGTGTCACAATGACAAATAATAATTCACTAAGCTAAGCTAGCTTTTTCCAGTGGGGTGCTACATGGTTTTATTCTCCACCCTAGGCAAACATACATGCGTATCTACTGTGTACATAAGGGCTGATGTCTGCATGACAGATGGCACCTCTGTGAAACCTGCTGATAAAACATGACACATTTGGCTAAACAAAGAAAGATAGATACATAGCACTTTATTAATCCCTCGGGAGTTTCCATGGGAAAGTTAGAAAAACAGCTGATGAGTTGAATTCTGACCCGTCTTTCAAGGCAGATTTGTATAGAAGGTGAGATAAAAGGAGAATGCAGTACTTGTTTGAGTGTGTACTTACTGGATTTAATCGCTGTCTTATTATGAAGTCAGAATATTCAACTTCTTCTTCTTTCACTGAACCTGCAAAGCAACAGAGCGTACAACTGAGCTTCAACAAATCGAAACACCTGCTCTTCCTCTAGCTCTACACAGGCCTAAACACAAACTGACACCGCCAGACTATCAGCACACCTGTTGTTTCTTTTTGCATCACCGGCTCCAGCCCCCACACTTCCTTACAGCCTGTTTGTACTAACCACTGTGTCCGTTTCAGTAACAGGAACTTATGACACGTAGATCATACATGTGGTTGCTGGCAAACAGCACCACTGTCCAATCAGATCTATCAAACCCACCTATTTGTTTTCAACTCAAACAAACATGATGCTGACTTTTAAACTACTTCCCCAAAATAATGGCACTTCTGTGAAGTTGTCTAGCACCAATTCTGAAAACAAATATTTTCATCACGAAGTGACTGAATGTGTCAATTAGTCGCCTTGTCATTTTGTCATAAAATGTTAAAGAAAACCCCCCAGAAAACTCAAACACACCCAAAAGACAATTTTCCTAAAGAAAAACTCACAGAACCTTTAAAATTGACTAAAAGGAGCAAAAACACTGACCTTTTGATTGTTTCCTTTTTTTTCTTTTTCTGTAAAGCAGGATAAAGAGAGCGAGTAGTAGAAGAGAAATCACAATGAAGACAATGAGGACAACGTCTGTGGAGACAAATAGATCAGACAACATCAACCCTTCATCAACCACCACAGCCTTATTTTTCTCAGGTGTGTGTCTTTATTCTTACATCGTCCTGTGTTGTGTTCACTGACTTCTGGACACAGTGTGTGAACGTGGACTGACACAGGTTTCTTCTCAACGGGTTTGGCAGCCACACATTTATACTCAGCACTGAAGTCATCACGCTGAAGGCTGAGATCCAGAGAGGCAGCAGAGCTGCTGCTCTTCACCAGCTCCACATCTTTGTACCAGGACAGTGTGGTCTCTTCAGCTGCTCCCACAGAGCAGAGGAGGACACAGCTGTCGTTACTCACTCTGTCCACTGAAGGAACTGGAACTGTCTCTGAGGATGGTGGGACAGGAACAACATGAGTGTGTATTTATATATGAAATATTCATGTTTTTAGAATCTGGTCTTTATTGACAGCAGGTCCAGGGAGGAAACTGAGATTTTCAACCAGCAGCAAAACAGAAGCTATTGTAAATTTGAGTTGTTTAATCCAGAGTAGGGCTGGGTGATTCATCGAAATTTGATTTGGATTATGATTTTGGCTTCCCTCAATTATGAAAACAAGATAATCAAAATAAAATGTTTATTGTCCCATTTTCCGTTCGGCACCAGCCATCATCCAACGACAGCCTAGAGTCTGTCTCTCAGGCAATGTTATCTGGTTGATTTAAATTTTTGCTCAGTAACTGGTTCTTTTTCCAATTTAGCAAAGTAAAATACTTCAGTCAAAATGTCAAAGTAAAATTACCTCTTCCCAAAACTACTGGTATTTTCCAGACTATATGTTAATAAGCACTTTTTTCATCCCTGGGCTGGGTTTGTGATTTATACTCAGGTGGGACTATATTTTGACTTATATATGTAAAACACGTTTGTTAGATTCACACCGACAGCCGCTAGAGGGCACTCTAGATGCCTGGTGCCACTTATACTCCAGAGCGACTTTTAGAGTAGAGTAGAGTAGAGTAGAGTAAGGCTTTATTCATCCCCCTTGGGGGAAACATACTAGTACAGTAGCCAGTGGCAGTGCAGAAAAAGAGAGAAAAGGAGTTAACACAATAAATAGAGTAAAAAGAACTAAAAAGCAAAAAAGCACTCTAAAATTAAAGTAAAACTTTAGAAAAATATACATAATGAACAAGAAAATATACATATTGAACAATAAAGTGGCAGTGAAGGGTGCAGGTAATCAGTGTAAAGAGTTAAACAGTCTTATGGCTGATGGGAGGAAGGACCTGCGGTAGCGCTCCTTCCTGCATTGTGGATGCCGGAGCCTGCCGCTGAAGGAGCTACGCAGGTCCTCCACAGTCTGGTGCAGCGGTTGGGTGGGGTTGTTTGTGATGGAGGACAGTTTTGTGAGTGTCCTGCTCCTTGCGACCTCCTCCACCGAGTCCAACGGGCAGCCCAGGACAGAGCTAGCCCTCTTGACCAGCTTATTCAGTTTTTTTCTGTCCCGGTCAGTGCTGCCTGTTCCCCAGCAGACGACGGCAAAGAGGATGGCAGAGGCCACCACAGAGTCATAAAAAGTCCGGAGGAGGGGTCTGGACACTCCGAAGGACCCCAGTCTCCTCAGGAGGTGGAGGCGACTTTGGCCCTTCCTGTAGAGGGCGTTGGTGTGTGTGGACCAGTCCAGTTTATTGTTGAGGTGCACACCCAGGTACTTAAAGCTGTCCACCAGCTCAATGTCCAAGCCCTGGATGCACACCGGTGACGGTTGTGGAGACTTTTTCCTGAAGTCGATCACCATTTCCCGCGTCTTACTGGTGTTTAGGCACAAGGAGTTGCCCTCACACCAGTCCACGAAGTCCCTGATGACCGACCTGTACTCCAGTTCATTCCCGTCAGACACGCAGCCAACAATGACTGAGTCGTCGGAGAATTTCTGGAGGTGACAGCTGCTGGAGTTGTGGGTAAAGTCCGAGGTGTAGAGGGAGAACAGGAACGGTGAGAGCACTGTTCCCTGGGGAACCCCAGTGCTGCAGATGGACACCTGTGATGTACAGTTCCGAAGCCTCACAAACTGTGGTCTGTTTGTGAGGTAGTCGGTGGTCCACGCGGCGAGCTGCTCCCCTGCTCCTGCATCCACCAGTTTCCTGCGCAGCACCGCCGGTTGGATGGTGTTTTATGTGTTATTTTCTTCTCTATTATGCTTTTTTTTTTTAATGGTTTTAAGTACTCTACCACATAGTTACTAGTGTTTGCCTGTACAGTACACTTATATTTTGTCATGGTTTAATTTATTTTTTTATCCATTCAAAGTTCAATAAAAGCAAAAGTAAATCAATGAATAATTATTTGACTGTTGTGATTTAAATATGAATTTAAATAATTGTAATTATTAATTTTGCCATAATCAAGCAGCCCTAATCGAGAGGTTATCGACCACTGGGTCCTAGACCAGAACCAGAGCCATGGATCCTATAATTTTAATTTCTTCTGTTCTTTCATCCTGACAACTACTCTCTGAAAATACAGTCTGACATTGAAGTGGTCTGTGGAGCCGAAAAGGTCGGTGACCCCTGGTTTAGGTAGCTGCTTGTTTAGACGTGTTTAATCACTAACATGACTAAATAAGACAGTTGAACTCACTGATGGAGGTGATGATCACCAATCACCACTTACTGTGTGCAGTGTTGGACTCACACACTGTGTCAACTACAGCTGTCGTCCTGGACGAGTGTGAAAGGAAATGAATTTTCTCTTTTTCACACCAGAACATCTCAGAGAAAATGACTTTCTTGTTGTTCTCCACTCAGACTCCACGTCAACAACTTATATGTGTATAACAGTTGATTAGAGAGCAGAGAAATGATCACTCACCATAAACTTTGAGTTCATACAGAAACCTGGAGGAAACGTCATCAACTACAGATTGAATAGAATAATCTCCAGAGTCTGTTCTCTGTAGTCCTGTGAGTGTGAGGGCTCCTGTGCTGCTGTTCCTCAGGATTCTGTCTCTGAAAACATTCTGTGGTATGTTCAGACCTCCGTTAACCACCATGGCAATGACTTGTGTTCCAAATAAAAGAAATCCAGTCTGCTGAAGAGGGTCAGGGAACGTGACGTTTCCTCCTTCAGTGGATGTCAGGTTTTTCTTCACAGCAGCAGAGTTTACAGCTGTAAAACACAGAGACACGGGAGAAGAGCTCAATGCTGTGTTTGATCTACTCTAGGTAAACAAAGCTACCAGCAATGTCTTTTAGTTTAGTTTGGGGGGAGGGGGTTGTTGTTGTTTTTTACTATATTTTTACTGTTTAATTTTAAACTACGATTCATGAGCCAATCAGCGTGAGGAACAGAAGTGAATGCTGAACTAAGAAGTGAACTAACTAGTCAATAGAATGCTGCGCACGATTTTGTCCAGGTAAACAAAGCCATTTTTAAAGCTAACACGTTCGTGAGTATAATTATTTTATAATCAATTTATTTTATAATCAAAACAATTACAAACAAATTAACAAATATTATAATATATTTCATTTAATATTTCGGTTGTAGTTGGTTCTTAGACACTGTTTCAGTTATTTTTGTTTTTATTTATTTCAGTTGATGAAATACAGTAATTGTTTCAGTTTTAGTTTTTCGTTACTTTTCTTTAATTGCAGTAACCTCGCTGACAAGACAGAATCAGTATTTTGAGGAGTTTATGAATGAGGAAAATGAGGGAGAAATAAGGACAGATGGAGGAGAGGTAGATAGGTGTAAAGTAATGGCAGTTAGTAATGAGGAAGTGAGGGCAGCTTTGAGGAAGATGAGGTGTGGATGCTACAGAGGGTTAAAGTTGATTAGCCACACAACAGAAATATGCAAAATAAATTTAACGATGCACAAAGAATCTTCCAAAGAGGCCTGTGCTTTTATTTCATATAAACTGGTCCCAGAGCAGACTGCACTCCATGAACTGTTTAGTGGTAACACAGTTGGTAGTTTAGTGCATCAAGAGGAAGAACTGTTTAAAAAACACTGAGAGCTGAGGCTAATAGTCAGACCAAAAACTAATATTTATGTAGAACAGGGTATAGGTTAAAGATAATAATAATAACAAGAACATAAATATTATTAACAATAATTACAATAATAATAATAATAACATGGTCCAAGAAGCATCTGGTTCAGAACTTACGGATGAGGAGAAGAAGAATCGTCACCAAAATCTCCATTGCCGCAGACTGAGGTGAACTTTTTGTCTGTCCGTCGCTCACACAAACAAAGAGAGCGAGCGAGCGATAGAGAGAGAGAGAGAGAGAGAGGTGTGTCTGCAAGATATCAAGTCAACTCAGTGTAAAAAAGATAAACAAAGAGCAAGAGTAAAAAAAAGCAAGTTACAAAATAAAAAACAGTATAGTATCTTATGTACAGAGGTGTTATCGTAGCTTTCATCACTCTGTACCTTTTGTCTGATGGCAAGAGTTGGAACAGGCAGTGACTGAGGTTTGATGAGTCAGGGGTAATGATTGTCGTTCTGCTGTGACATCTGGAGATGACGAATTGTTCTTCGGTGGGGAGGGAGCAGTCGATGTTTTATGATAACTGATAACCCTAAAGTGATCAAATTAAGAAAGTTATGAGAGAGCGCCTTCTTCTCCATGGAAGAGCTGCAGCAGAGTTTGGGGAAAACCATTTTTTCTGAGGTCCTCCTCCAGTTCACAGTCCAGGATTTAAAGACTGGGACCTTCTCCACTCAGGCCCCACTGATGATGAGTGGCCGGATGTCAAGTCAATGACCAGCTCCTTTGTTTCTGTGGTGTGGAGGAGCAGGTCATTGAGCCCACCTTAATACTCAGCACAGGTGAAGTGAATTCAATTCAGATGCAGAAAGATATCAAAGGGTAACTGAGGCGTCTCACAGCAGTGAAAATATGTCAGAGCAGAAAGCCACATGTGAGGATGTCTAGCTTCTTCAGTCTCAGCTTCATAACGGTCGGTGGGTCATGACACCACAGAAAAAAAAACAAAGACATTCATGACTGGAAACTAACCACAGAGAGAGACTCTCTCATTGTCTCACACTGTGTTTCTGGTTATATGAAATGTCAATGTGACAAATTAACATTTACTATACTTACAGTAAGTCATGACAATTGTTCACCCTCGCAGAGATCTTCAACATGGGGTCTGTATCTCCTAGATCGTGGACTCCCAACTGCGTGTACTGTAAGAAATATTCAGGTGAGGACTGGATAATTATCCAATCTGACTTAATTGACCTGATAACTACTATTCATTAACTTCAAATAATAAAAACTAATTCAGTCCTGCTCCTATTTTCCATTACCTACTGGTGGAAGGCAATGGGAAATAGGAACTTGACAAAACAAAAACAAACAGACTCAGCTCTGTTGATGAAGATCACACACATTGTGTGGGACTTTCTTCAATTCCTGTCGTGTCGTACTCAATTAAATATGGGTTTCACACTGTAAGTAAGTAAAATGTGTGTCAGTTGAAAACTAGAAGATTATTATATTTAATTTAAAAACGGAATAAAAGTTCAAATGTGCCATGGCTCAAGAAAGGCAGAGAAACACTGCCATAGAGGCTCAACAGAGGAACTGCAGCGAGGCTGTGAAATGTTTGGTTGATTAAAAACATTTTAATCAACATTCACATTGTTTAAACATAAAATGAATGTCATCAAATATGCAGCTGAGAGAAAATACAGACAACGGTAATAGTAGAAAAATATACATATATTAATATGTTAATAATGGCTGATCATTGTATCTTCACATTTTCAAATAAATACATATTTATATGATCCTGCTCATCAATTCAATAGCTTGATTATTTCAAAATAATATTTATATCTAACAAAATCAAATCTATTTCTCATTCATCCGCTTCCATGTCATTCAATGTAATTGTTGTGTTCCCATTATACAATTTCTTCTTGAGTTTGAGTTTTTGAAAATCATTTTTGTTTCATTATCATTTTCGACTTTCTGGTTTTTCCACTGAGCTCAACAGGAATTGTTGTAACATCCTGGTCCTTCTCCTCAAAATTTGACTGTCTGCAAAAAAACAAAACATTGATTGTTAAATTACAGGAAATCACCTCACTGTTTCTCACTGAACTGTATTCTGAGTAGGTAAACTGTGGGGAACTAGTGGAGCAAAACAGACATATCAAAGTGATTTGGAGTTACCGTATATATATAACACACACACACACACACATATATATATACATATATATATATATATATATATATATATATAAACACAATCCTTGTCTGGCAGGGCAATACATGTTTGCACTACTAGTCAACAGAGCAGGTGCCTGATGTTCACGGGGAATTTTAGAGCAGGATGAACCGGTTCTTATTTAGATTGAATTACAGCATAATGACAAAAACGTCGACTGAGGCGTTTTGGTGATTCCAAGGATAAGTAAGACAGTATTGGTCTAAACACACTGTTTTGTTTCATGTACGTGCACATTGATAAATTGATGTTGACAATCCTTTTCTATTTTCATTTAAAAAAACAAAACAAAAAACACTGGTTGTGTAGACGCATATTCTACTGCTTATAGTTGTAAAAAAATCTTATCAAAAATGACTAAGTCTTAACAGAAAAAAGAAACTGGTCAAGCAAAATGAACACAGAGACCTTCATCGAATCACACAAAGTAGTTTCTGCAGTAACGACTGCTTATATGCTGATGGAAACAGGGAGGCTAGTTTCCACCTCTTGGTTCCTGGATGTTTACTAATGGGGCCACGGACACTGAAGTCACACAACCTGGTGTCAGAGCTCCTCAAGCTGGCCATAAAAAAGAATTGCAGCAGCACTGATGCTCTTTTTTTTTTACAACTTATCTTTTGAAACAAAAACAAACAAACAAAAAACCCACTCGTATAAATAACACATTCTTTTTTATGCTAAAAAGTACTTTAACGTTAAACTCCACAATACTATAAACTACTATAAACATATATTTTCATCATCATGTGAATGAATCTGTCAATTATTCGCCTTATGACAAAATAAATGGAGGGATAAAGAACACTCACGTTGTGATTGTTTCCTTTTCTTCCCCCTCTTTAAAAAAGGATACAGACAACGAGCAGTAGAAGAGAAATCACATTAAAGACAATGAGGACAATACGGACAACGTCTGTGGAGACAAACAGATCAGACAACATCAACCCTTCATCAACCACCACAGCCTTATTTTTCTCAGGTGTGTGTCTTTATTCTTACATCGTCCTGTGTTGTCTTCACTGACTTCTGGACACAGTGTGTGAACGTGGACTGACACAGGTTTCTTCTCAACCGGGTTGGCAGCCACACATTTATACTCAGCACTGAAGTCATCACGCTGAAGGCTGAGATCCAGAGAGGCAGCAGAGCTGCTGCTCTTCACCAGCTCCACATCTTTGTACCAGGACAGTGTGGTCTCTTCAGCTGCTCCCACAGAGCAGAGGAGGACACAGCTGTCGTTACTCACTCTGTCCACTGAAGGAACTGGAACTGTCTCTGAGGATGGTGGGACAGGAACAACATGAGTGTGTATTTATATATGAAATATTCATGTTTTTAGAATCTGGTCTTTATTGACAGCAGGTCCAGGGAGGAAACTGAGATTTTCAACCAGCAGTAAAACAGAAGCTATTGTAAATTTGAGCTGTTTAATCCAGAGGTTATCGACCACTGGGTCCTAGACCAGAACCAGAGCCATGGATCCTATAATTTTATTTTCTTCTGCTCTTGACGAGCATTCTCTGAAAATACAGTCTGACATTGAAGTGGTCTGTGGAGCCGAAAAGGTCGGTGACCCCTGGTTTAGGTAGCTGCTTGTTTAGACGTGTTTAATCACTAACATGACTAAATAAGACAGTTGAACTCACTGATGGAGGTGATGATCACCAATCACCACTTACTGTGTGCAGTGTTGGACTCACACACTGTGTCAACTACAGCTGTCGTCCTGGACGAGTGTGAAAGGAAATGAATTTTCTCTTTTTCACACCAGAACATCTCAGAGAAAATGACTTTCTTGTTGTTCTCCACTCAGACTCCACGTCAACAACTTATATGTGTATAACAGTTGATTAGAGAGCAGAGAAATGATCACTCACCATAAACTTTGAGTTCATACAGAAACCTGGAGGAAACGTCATCAACTACAGATTGAATAGAATAATCTCCAGAGTCTGTTCTCTGTAGTCCTGTGAGTGTGAGGGCTCCTGTGCTGCTGTTCCACAGGATTCTGTCTCTGAAAACATTCTGTGGTATGTTCAGACCTCCGTTAACCACCATGGCAATGACTTGTGTTCCAAATAAAAGAAATCCAGTCTGCTGAAGAGGGTCAGGGAACGTGACGTTTCCTCCTTCAGTGGATGTCAGGTTTTTCTTCACAGCAGCAGAGTTTACAGCTGTAAAACACAGAGACACGGGAGAAGAGCTCAATGCTGTGTTTGATCTACTCTAGGTAAACAAAGCTACCAGCAATGTCTTTTAGTTTAGTTTTTTTTCTATATTTTTACTGTTTAAGTTTTATACTTTACAGCAAACGGAAATACTGAGAGATGCTACGATGCATTTTCATATGAATAAAAAAAATTACAAATAAATTAACAAATATTATAATATATTTGTAAATTTAATATTTCGGTTGTAGTTGCTTTTGTAAACACTGTTTCAGTTATTTTTGTTTTTATTTATTTCAGTTGATGAAATAATTGTTTCAATTTTAGTTTTTCGTTACTTTTCTTTAATCAAATTAACAAATATTATAATATATTTCATTTAATATTTCGGTTGTAGTTGGTTCTTAGACACTGTTTCAGTTATTTTTGTTTTTATTTATTTCAGTTGATGAAATACAGTAATTGTTTCAGTTTTAGTTTTTCGTTACTTTTCTTTAATTGCAGTAACCTCGCTGACAAGACAGAATCAGTATTTTGAGGAGTTTATGAATGAGGAAAATGAGGGAGAAATAAGGACAGATGGAGGAGAGGTAGATAGGTGTAAAGTAATGGCAGTTAGTAATGAGGAAGTGAGGGCAGCTTTGAGGAAGATGAGGTGTGGATGTTACAGAGGGTTAAAGTTGATTAGCCACACAACAGAAATATGCAAAATAAATTTAACGATGCACAAAGAATCTTCCAAAGAGGCCTGTGCTTTTATTTCATATAAACTGGTCCCAGAGCAGACTGCACTCCATGAACTGTTTAGTGGTAACACAGTTGGTAGTTTAGTGCATCAAGAGGAAGAACTGTTTAAAAAACACTGAGAGCTGAGTCTAATAGTCAGACCACATCCTATAGTGACCTATGTCTGTGTAGACTTTCCACTTACAGCAGGTCACATCAGGGAACACACACTGGTTAAAAAGGAAACAGTGTTTATAAAATAGACCGATAATATTTATGTAGAAAAGAGTTGAAGATAATAATAATAATAACAACAGCAACAACAACAATAATAATATGGTCCAAGAAGCATCTGGTTCAGAACTTACGGATGAGGAGAAGAAGAATCGTCACCAAAATCTCCATTGCCGCAGACTGAGGTGAACTTTTTGTCTGTCCGTCGCTCACACAAACAAAGAGAGCGAGAGAGAGAGAGAGGGGGAGGGAGAGAGAGTAGGTGTGTCTGCAAGAGTAAAAAAAAGTATGTTACAAAATAAAAAACAGTATAGTACAGTAATATATAGTTGTAGTACATAATAAACAGTATAGTATATTATGTACAGAAGTGTTATCCATCTATATTACACCTATTGAAGTCAATGTGAGTTTAGAGCCACGGTGGCTCTGGGAAAAAACAGTTTTTTAGGCCGTAGCTTTTATCACTCTGTACCTTTTGTTTGATGGCAAGAGTTGGAACAGGCAGTGACTGAGGTTTGATGAGTCAGGGGTAATGATTGTCGTTCTGCTGTGACATCTCAAGGTGACGAACGTTCTGTTGTCTTGGATATATCTCTCCCGCTGCGGGAATACATATTTTGTCATTGGCTAATCAGAATGAGAGCCTTGATGGAGTTCTATTGAACTTAAGGGCAGTAAATGCTTTCATCACTTTGATTGACAGGTCAATCAACAGAAGAAAACAAACGTCAGGTGAGTTTCGTTCATTCTTTATTGAGTTGGGCTGTTGTCATTATCCACACTCCAGCATTCACCGTTTCCATATTTACAGACCTTCTTTTTATCACAAGTTTGGATTCTGTTCCTCCCACACAAACATCTGGGATCTTCTAAACGCACTGTACCAAAAGGTTCCTCAGAGATGAGAGTAGGACATACTGAACCAGAAGGTTCCATACAGATGAGGAGAACATACTGTAGTTAACAGGTTTCTCAGATGAGAGAACGTACTGTAACAGAAGGTCCCAGGTCCCACATGTAGAATAGCCGCTGCTCCCAGACATGTACAAGAAAATGAAACAGTAAAAAAAAAGAGAGAGAGAGAGATATTTGGCTTTGGATTTGAACAGATCACAGCTTTTAAAAGGACAGTTCAGGCTTTTGGAGTGAAAAAAAGGTATAGGTCTATGTGATTAGAGTTCCTCTGTGCTGAGTCCACAAAGAAAAAAAACATTTTCATATAATAAAAAAGACAATCAACAATCAGTTCAGGGTCAAGGGTATAATAAAGTGGAATTTAGGCAATATTAAGACTTTTTATTGGCATTCCGACTTCAACTTTCGTTTGAGGTCTTTAATTTTTTGATAACAAATGTTGCCACACGAGGCAGCAGTGGGAGTGAAGTGTGTTTTCCCCTTTGGAATAAAACAATGAGTTTCTCATTTTAATTTTAATCATCTTCACTGATGGTTATTTTAGTCCAGAGTAAACATCTGTGTCTCAAAGTGGACACAAAGCCTGTACTGTCCCTTTGACTAGAGCTATGACAACGACGATGATGATAACTGAAGTGGAGTGAGAACAGTGGTCAAACCTCATGATCACTGGCCCCAGGTCACATATCAAAATATCTTCCTTGAATAAAAATAATAAAGAATTTTTATTCAATGAAATACAATAAAAAATAAAAATCATTATTAAAACTTTTTTTCATTTATGTATTTTCTAAATATTTAAAAAATAAAAACAAACAAAAGATGTGAACTTAATCTGAGTGAGGATCAGGTGGTGTGGTCAGAAGAATGATTGAAAAAAAAAACACACAACCAAACTGAAGCTGCTGTTAGTGACCCACTCACAGACTGAACATGAGTGGCTGCGCTCTGATGTTTCCAGGGTGAAGGTCAGCTGGACTCAGCAGTGCTTTTTTAACAGATACCAGGTTCTGCTGCAGCATCCAATCACATTCATCCTCACACTGTCATGTTAAAGTTAAATGTTAAACCTCCATCAGACTCCAGAGTGAACGGTCTACGACCCTGACGTGACCCACAGCCTCCATACTAACGCAGAAGGGGTCGTCACGGGCCGCACCACAGCCTTTGTCCCTCTAAGTACGGACCTCCAAAAACTGAGGTCTCTCTGAACGCATCAGACCTGGATCTAATTCAGGAGCAGTGATAAGAGTGACCTGGGTCTGAATTAAAAAAATTCATACTGTCATAAAAAAAAGAAAGAAAAGAAAATGAGATAGTTTGTCACTGACAGCAGCTTTGGTTGTTGACCTTTAACCTCACAGATCAGAACATGGACACAGCTTTGATTTTTCATTTTGCTTCATTACATTTTACACTCAGATAAAAAAGTCTACGTTAAAATTCCTTTTCCAAAGAAAAGAAGAGTTTAGTTTTAAATCAGCTGAACTGCTGTACACAGGGGAGAGAGAGCAGAGCGTTATTTCAACAGAATACATGACTTTGTAAACAAATGTTACAAAATCAAAGAACTACAACGTAACTGAAGATAAACCTACAACAAAGTAAAGACGAGGCTAAAGCATTCACTAAGACTTATATTAAAAAAATTAAAAAATGAAAGCACAAACATACACACACATACGCGCACACACACACACACTCAATGAAACATGAGCCATGTGTACAATTTCAGGTACCAGCTAATGTATTTTCCCAGAACTCACAGCAACTCTGGTTTATAGTATAAAGTACCAGTGGCACAACCAGCGACTTCAGGTCCCAGGAGTTTTAGCTTCTTTCACCGAATCCAACCAACAACTTTAGTCCATCGGCTTTAAAATCCACGAGTTTTAACTATCGGGATCTGGAAGTACCATCAGAACCAGAATCATTACTTGCTACAAGTACCGTGTGATCTAAGTACATGGAAACATACAAACCAGAGTATTTAGGTACCAGTATCTATAAGCACCAGGTTCGTACCAGGGTCTCCAGTACCATGGATATGTTCAGAGCTGGGAACTCTAACCACAAGGTTCCTGGTTTTTCTAAAACTAATCCCCACATATAAGGACTGCAACTGACGTGCGGACTGAAAACACTGGTACCTGTGTGTGGAACATTCACTTTGCCCCAGCGGCTCAATATTCTAACAGAATGTTGGTCTCTTGACATTTCACTTTGAGTAGTGAATAAACACAGTCTACATAATAGTAGAACTCATAGGGTCATAGGCCAGAGGTAAATGAAGGAATGACGTCAATTCAGGTTTACAATGAGGGGCTAAGATCAGTGGATAAATTCTTACGGTGTAGTTCATAAGGTACGACACAAGAGGGAGCCACAGCATCGAACTTCGGCAGGTAGTTTGAATAATGGCCAACAGCACAGTCTGGTTTTTCCACTGACAGCTTAAGTACTCGAACACAAGTTAGTCCTCTACTCCTACACTAGTCTACATTCACTCTCCACCTCCCACCTCTTTTCTTCCTCGTTCCCCTTCTCTCCTCCTCCACCGCTCCTTCATCTTCCTTCCTTCGTCCTTCAACTCCCGTTGGCTCTCAGGTTCCACCTTCTAATCGTTTATGAATCTCTTTTCTAAGTAAAGTCAACTTGTAGTAATTGTGTCCACAGTGTTAGTACCAACCGTGGACCGTACAGAGGAACTGGACACAGCTGCTCCACTGTGAGAGTGAATGCCACAGGCGTCAGTCAAACCTGGTCTGTAGCTCAATGTGTTCCCAGGTCTGTGGTGACGGAGTATGGTCCATCCTGGGGTCATGACCCTTAAAGAACGTTTTACTGACAACCCTCTGGTCAGTGCAGTCCCAGTTCTTCTTCTACAGAAGGTTAGGCCTGAATGCTGTTGGACTGACTGAAAGAATAACTGTTAGACGGTCCCTGACTCTTGTGATGCAGCCTGGGTTTAAGGATTACAGGACATAATCCCACCACTGCACCTCTCCAGAACGGAGCCACTTCTGCTCTGCTGCATCACCATGAGACCACAGCCTTCAGTGGAGGTGGTTGTGTCCAGCTCTTATGTACGTTCCATGTTTCTGGCTCATTCTAACTTCACACATGCAGTACCAGGCTCAAACCAGTGTCTGTCACTGTTTTCCCATCTGACTTCCTTTTCTAACTGTTTTATATCTGTGCTCCCCCCTCTGCCCCTCTGCTCCCTCTATCATCCACCTCCTCAGAGTTGACCTGAACCCTGACTCTAAGGACCGAACACTCACTGCATGCGAGCGTCTGCATGTTGTCCACGAAGCAGAAGATTCTCTTACTCAGAGAATACAGAGATGCACGAACAAGGGCAAATTCCTGGCAAGAAAATTGGCACTGGAATGAAATGAGAAATTGCATATGCATGCACGGAATGCCTGGTTCTAGTGTGCATGAACCTGTGGTCATGAACGTGGGTGCAGAAATGCACAGCGACTGTTTGCAGACACGGAAAGGTGGAATGTGAAACGGTGTGACTGTTTCCTGCTTCTCTCTCTCTGGACTGCTGCTCCATCAACCTCAACCCCAACCTCTTCAATTAGAAAGCAAGACCTGGAACAACAGCGCCTCTATGGTCCTCTGCAAAACCAAACCAAAGTCCTCTTTAGGCCCTGCCGCTCCTCTCTGTGCACCTCCTCTCTAAGTGCTGACAGAGTCTCCTCTTTTCCCTCTAATGATCGTCACGGTTCTGTTGTTTTTTTTTTTCCCGGCCTTCCTCCTCCATCTCTGTCTGTCACCCATGTCTCTTCCTTAAATGTCCTTTCACTTCTCCACCAGTGCGTCCTCCTCTGTGATGCCCTGAGCTCGCAGCTCTTCCAGAACATTGTCCAGGTGCCCAGGGTCAGGGAAGCCGTGGCCCGTCAGGTTGGAGCCAAACTCTGTCTTGTGGTGAACCTTAAAAGGAATTGTTGCATTTAGTTTGAGGATATATATACATACTATATATACATATATATATACATACTATATATACATATATATATACATACTATATATACATATATATATACATACTATATATACATATATATATACATATATATATGTATATACATATACATATATATATATATACATATATATATAAATATATATGTATATATATATATATATACATATATATTTATATATATATGTATATATATATATATGTATATGTATATATCTATATATATATATATAATATAGATATGTAAGTATGTGTGTGTGTGTGTGTGTATATATGTGTGTGTATATATATGTGTGTATATATATATATATGTATATATATATACATATATATATATATACACACATATATATACACACACACACACATACATACATACATATATATTATATATAGATATAGATATATACATATACATATGTATTCCATCACAAGGGGACAGTCACTTCAAATCTGCCTGGTGATAGAGGATAAAAGTGAATGTTTTAAGATGAAGAAGAAGATCTGATCAAATGTTTTCAAAAAGTGTCCTGCACACTGTCCACGCTGTGGACGATAACAAGGGACAAAAAGACTAGGACGAATACTCAGTGTGTGTGTGAGTATGTGGGCAGACTGTATTTCGAGTGTACCTCGTTCCAGATGACAGTGTCGGACTCCCCCGTGGTGCTCGATGTCCCCACTGAGAAGATCAACCTGCGGTCCCAAGCTACCAGCAGTAGTCTGAGAACCTGAACCGGGACAGAAGGTTGGTGTTTAGCACACACTGATGACCGTAGCAACCGTCAGAAGAGTGTGGACCGTGGCAACCGTCAGTGCCTGTTGTTACTGAAACACTGACGAGTGTAGCTACAGTCAGTGACTGTCGTGATAACAACACACTGATGACTCTAGCGCTGTCATAAAGACACACTAACGAACGTAGCTAAAGTGCATCTTTAATGTAAAATACATACTAGTGCCACCTGTTGATCTAATGTGGTACTGCATCTCACACATTCCTCCAATGACGGTAACATTTACAGTGTGAATGTAGAGGTGTTTTCTGGTCCTAATTGTCTGATATCAGCAGGTTGTGTTACCTTGCGTCCTTTCTCACTGTCTGGGAGGTAGCAGTGTCGGGGAAAGCCTCTGGCTGTGAAAGGCTTTCCAGGGTTTGAATGTTCTGGTCCCTGGAGGAGTGAGAGGAGAATTAGTGATTAGTGACAGACGCTCAGCCTTAGTCTGACAAACAACTGTAAAAAACCACACTAGAGGACGGGACGGAGTCAGTCTAAAGAGCATCCTTCACTTGTCATCCAGTTTTTAAGGGGCTTTGGTCCAGTACCTGAATTCCTGGTGGTATGTTGTAGATGATGCGGATGGTTTTGCTGTCAGGGTGTCCGGGTAGGGAATGAGGGATGACGTGATACTCCATCTTTCCTGCTGGTTGGTTTCCTGTCTTTACGCCATAGATGGTTTTACATGTAGGACACTGAAGACTGGAAGACAAAGACATTTTGGGTTAAAAAAAGTCAGGAAAGTTGATTCTGGACTTATATCAATTTTAGTTGTTATGACTGAATTACTTCACAGAAACAAATGTAAACAAACAGACAGCCAAGAGACAAACATGGATGACCAGAACTAAGGTCGATGACATTTCAGCAGGTTCTGCTGTGGATTTGTGAAAGTTTTATTAGTGAGCCCTGCCTAAAACATTTGCACAGTACTGTGGGTAAAAAGCTGTCAGGGAATGTGTCTCTATAACCAACCTGCCGTCCTTGTTGCCGTTGTTGTACATGGCCACTAAACACTGGAAATGGTACTGATGTCCACACTGTGCTAGGCGTCCCACTGACTCTGCCTTAGAAACGGGACCGACTCCAGGACCCTTGTATCCAGAAGGACCCCCGAGGGGCTCCATACAGATGGTGCAGTCCTGTTATGGTAGAAAAATAAAAATGCACTTTTTAAGCTTCTCCAAATGAGACTCGTGGCTTTTATTAAAAGAGAAGAACACAACGCAGATGTCGTACCTCCTCTGGTGGGTTTTTGACCTTCTGCAGGTACTTCTTCACCACCTCCTCTGGAGTTCTCCCTGCAGCCAAAGAAGAGAGGAAGCACAGAAGAGTGATGAATGCATGAATAGCAGATAGGAATAATTGTACACATACACACTTCTGAGTCAAAAAACCATGGAGAAAATCACTGATTTTAGCTCTCAGCTATCTGATTTTACCACAGGAGGTACTGGACCACTGCTGCTTTGTTCGGCAACACAAGACCCAAGTTAGAAAAATTTACTTTTTAAATGACTGAGGCAGAATATATATATATATATTTTGCACATTTCCTCTTGTGGTATGTCTAACCTGAGAGACAGACATCCTAAAAAGTTTAGGTCTTACCTTTGCGAGCCTGCTTCTTCGTTGTCTTCCTGCAACAGTGGCCGAATCCTGGCACTGGTTTGATGTCGCTCTTGCTGACAGGTGGAGGATGCAGAACCAGTTTGGGAGGTCGAGTCAGACACACAGGCAGAGCAGCAGCACTCATCAGGATTCCTGTGATCCCTGTGTGCACAAAAAAAACCACAGTGAGGACAAAAACAAATCTGTGGCTTTTAGTTGTGAAAACAGGTGGTGTGATGACCAGGTGTGTATTTGTCATACCAGCCAGCGCAGGGTGGACAGGACTGGATCCATTGAGATTCTTCACAGGGACAGTGGGCACACTGCAACACAAGACACAGACACTTGAACCGTGCATGTACGCAGTGGAAATCTCACCACTGTTATATATTTAAAGTAAGCACAAAAATAAAAATAAATTAAATGAAAAACAAATCGAAATGTGAAACATTTTCTCCCTTTTTGTTTAAAAACAATTTACACAAAATCTACATGTCATCATCATATATCACCATTTGATAGATGCTGGTGTGAGTATATTCTATTTATTTAATTATGATGATATGAGCTGATTGATTGATTGATTAAGAATTTATCTTAGGCCTGTGTGGTGTTTGGTAATGGGGAACACTATAGAAGTTGGGGTTACTGTCACTTTAAGGGAGATAAGGTTTTGTTTGGATTGGCGGCTTATGATACACAGAAAGTGAAGTTATTGTATTTTTTTTTTTTTTAACAAAAGAATGGGTCTGGAATAAAATAGCATTAAAAAAATATAAAAATGAAGCCAGATTTGAACCAACGACCTAAGGATACCTACACTGACCTCTACAGTCTACCAACTCAGAAATTTCAATTTTACTTTAGACTCTGTATTATAGTTACATTAAAGCATAGGATTTACCAAACCTGCTCCTAGATAAATATATATACTGTACATATAGACTGTAGACATATATGTATATATATTTAAACACACAATGTGGAATATGTATGGTTGGATATATATGTGTTTATATTACTCCATCTTCTATAGTGATGCCACAAACAG